AAGTAGGAGAACTTCATTGACATTGTAGATATTGAAAGGTTCGATATTTCCGAGAACTATAAGAGACATCGCTAATTTTCGTTATACAATATTGCCTTGAGATATGAATTTAATTCGTTCTAAGACCGAGCTCTTTTGACTCGTATCTCAAATTAATTTTCTCCATTAAAATTAGTGGAAATATTTCCGATTCGTTCGAGGCCCCTAAAAATTCATCATTGCTATTTACACTTACTTTCTTTGAATAGATGGTGTCACTAAAGGGATTTTGCAAAGTAAAGGCAAAAAGACACAACATAACACAACAGAAACCCTTCAAAAGCAGAGGTGAATACGTCTACTACGGATGCTTAAATGAAACATATTCATGTCTCAAAATTCAGCTCGTATCTTAAGGCAAAAATTCGGCCAAACTCCAGCTTGTATCTTAAAAAAAACTTGTATGAAGGTACGCTGGTATGTCAAGGTATCATTGTATATACTTTGGGACTGGGAACATGATTCAAACCAGCAAGGTCCCATAAATCATTTCCATTCTGGATAAAGTGAGAAGTGACATACAGCTTGAGTGTACATTGGAATAGTGAAATATGCCTTTCAAAAGCAAGGAAAGTTATTAAAACAGTGTCACAATTTGGTAAAGTGGTTGGGTCTTTAGTAGCAACGCCGGCGCAGATTCGACTGAAGCATTCTGTTCGCCGAAGCAATCTCCAGCTCTTTTATTCACAGAAAAACAATATGGCCAACGCGGTACTTCCGTGTCTGAACAATAGCTGAAACGTTGCTTCCGTTTCCTTAGTTCCCGGTTAGAACAGAAACAGCAAGACCAAGTTAGAATCAAAGAAGGAGTGATGAACTGTAATATAATATCGGTCATCCTATATAGCAGTGATGGCTGAAAGACCTCAGGAGATGAAAATGTGACTCGAGGTAACTGTAATATGGTTACTTAGTATAACATTGAGTTAACCCGTTAGTAACGAGTAAGTGCTAAAGGAAATGGAATTAAAATTATGCCTATACTTAGAATCAAAAGCAGACAGTTGATATTTCTAGGGATTGGAGAATTTAACCCTGACAGAGCACATTGTAGACAGGACGAAAATGTGGAAAGAGAGTGAATAATGTATATATTGAGTTTTTATAAAAAATGGATGGTAGATTCAAGATTTGAAAAGATGAAAAAAAAAAGAACCTTACTATGAACTGCAAAACGAGGAAGTTGGTGAGAGCTATGATCGCTGATACCTTTGAATATATAAAGCTGAACAACTCTAAGATAATGGGAAAATAATATTGCAGATATTACTTCCATTCTAACATTTTTGGAGCAATAAGGCTTCGTTCACATTTTATAATTTTTGTTTTATATATTGTTTGGAGTTGCACAACGCTTGAAATGGCATTGTTGATTTTTATTTATTTACAATTTTTTAAGATCTGTCTATATTTCTGAGATGAGGTAATGTAAATAGTTTCATTATTTACATTGTTTTGAGTGTTTTCCTCATCTTTATTGTCATTTTCACGACGTTTCGGCCCTTGTACACTCCGGCTTTCTTCAGAGTCTGCCTATATTTCTGAGATAAGTTGTTGCAATTATTTACGCTATTTCCATTCTTCAGGATGGTGTCTTCATTCTTGTTGCCATATTCACGACGTTTCTGCTGCTGTATCAATATCAGTTATCTACCTTTAACTCAACTATCCAAAATTGTGTTTCATCACAACTGTAGCAAAGAACTGAACTCACAACTCTTTGATTCAAGTTACTGGAATCAACCAACGCTTTTATTGAACGGGCAAGGAAAATGAGGACAACAGTCCGAACAATGGAATATAGTGTAAATAAGCTTTTAAGATATTTCGGAAGTCCACACAATGTACATATAGGTAAGTTTCTTTTTAAAACGAGTAAATGCATTAGAATGACAGTATGTAAAATTATTTATAAATCAAGTATAATTATGTATATTACTAGGTCAAAATTTTTTTTAAATTTATATTTAAATATTATTTAAGTAGAATTTATGACAATGACGGCAAAAATAGCTAATTAAATTCTCTGATTTAGTAAACTTTAATTTTTTATATATTTTATATAAATCCAGTAATATATAGTTTCTCATGTAAGTACAAAAGACATGGGTCATTGAATTTACATCTTCTAGCTTTTCATATTATTTTCATTTTACTGTAGGTGTTTTACTGGAATCTTTTAAGTGCTTGTAGTAATTTGAGAGAAGTGTTTAGGTTAGGATACGTTTTATTTGACTACAATTTTAAAAGATGTTTTGGTTAGAATTCGTTTTATTTAACTACAATTTTAATATATTATATATATATATATATATATATATATATATATATATATATATATATATATATATATATATATAGTTGAATGGATAATATATATAGTTGAATAGATAATATATATATATATATATATATATATATATATATATATATATATATATATATATATAATTGATTGGATATGAGTTTGTAAGGGTCACATACTCATATCCATTCAAGTAAATATGTTAGCTCTATCACTGATATTGAGCTCATTCCAATAAGTATCCGCACATATATAAAATATATATGGGATTTATATATATGGAATTTTATATATATATATATATATATATATATATATATATATACATATAAATGTGCATATGACAATTATACACACACACACACACACACACATATATATATATATATATATATATATATATATATATATATATATATATATAAACAAAGAACAGTAAGATATATAATCCGGTGTTCTTATAGATATTTTATTTTTTAGAAAATAGTGCTCAATGTAAATTTACAGAGCATTAGTATTATGAATTAATTGATTTAAAATATGTTTTTTTTTCGCTACACAGTTCTAACCATGTTTCAAAAATTTTGTTTGGTGTTGGTCCTGTCTCATTTTGACCTGTGATGGCTGTACATATATATATATATATATATATATATATATATATATATATATATATATATATATATATATTATAAATTTGAAAAATTTTTTTCGCTTAGTTCTAAACATGTTTCAAAAATGGAAATTTTTGAAACATGTTTAGAACTGTGTAGCGAAAAACCTAAAATACACAGACTCACATTTTAGAATATGTAAGAGTGGAAGCGTAAGCATGTAGCGTCTGTTTCTCTTCATTCTTTTTCGTTTTTTTTTTCTTTCCAAAATTTAGGAAAAATGCAGTTGTTGACATTGTCTGTTTTGAAAACTGATTGTAGATCAATTTTAAAAGAATTTTTTTACATATTTTTATTTTTAAATAAGAATATATTATTTCGTTTAATATTCAGTGATATTCCTTAAGAAAATCTGAAATATAAATAAAACGATTTTTATAAAAAATAATCCTTTATTTACGTCACATTAGTCGGAGGAGGAACGACTTAAAGTATGGTCTACTTTAACTATATACATACATACATACACACACACACATATATATATATATATATATATATATATATATATATATATATATATATATATATATATATACATATATATATATACATACATATATATATATATATATATATATATATACATATATATATATATATATATATATATATATATATATATATATATATATATATATATATATATATATATATATATATATATATATATATATATATATAATTGCTATACTTTTGTATTGAGCATATTTTGTAAAAGTAAATGTTACGAACAGTATAATTTTTACTCCACCTCTTCTTTCTCGCATTTGTATATATATATATATATATATATATATATATATATATATATATATATATATATATATATATATATATATATATAAACCTGGAAAATTTTAAACTCTGTCTGGATGAGAATATAGCAATAATCACATTTTCAGACCGACAAAAATTACTAAATACATGATCAGAACTTATCTCAAAATGCAAATACATGAACAGGATTTTATTACGTCGCTTGAAAAACTAAAAACGAATACCTAGTACGATGCCACCATGAAAAATGCAAATATATGCACTCTATACAACACAGATAATGTAGTATTCTTTAGGCAAAGCCAATACATTAAACTAAACAAATAAGAATGAAAAGCACGAAGAAAATATATGCACATAATAGACAAATTAACAATCAACAAATTCGCACTCACACAGACACACGCACGCATACACAATCATACACACATATACATGTAAATTATTCAGTGTGAGATGCAGAGGCAGCAGAAAATTTACTGAAATGATTTTATTTTTGAAAATTACCAAATATCAGACTTTCATAATCAGTGTTCTTTGTTAAATTGATAAATTTAAAGCCACAAAGATAGATATATAATGAAGAGATTGATATAAAAACAGATAACGTATAGAATGATATAGTTAGTAGATAGATAGTGAAGATATATATATATATATATATATATATATATATATGTGTGTGTGTGTGTGTTATTTTTATAGATATAACTTATTAAAGTAAATTAAACAGTATTAATTACATTAACTGGTCTTAATGTTCTAAAAATTTCATAGAAAATATAAGCTCTCCGACAGGAATTGAACCTATAACCATGAGCAGTGTGTGTATGTGTCACACATTATGAAATGGACAAAGTTCGACAATTATCTTAAGACATTTTTATGTTTATACATTCTTTTTATAGATACAAATATTTAAGTAAAAAAAAAAAAAAGTTAAAGGCACGTCAAGCTAAATGACGGTTCCGTATAGGATGCAGGTTCGAATCCTGTCGGAGGACGAATATTTTATGTGAAAATTTCTCGGACATTCAGGCCGGTAAATGTTGTTTAATACTGTTTAGTATAAACAGAGAATTTACTTAAATATATTTGTATCTATAAAAAAAATGTATAAACATAAAAATGTCATAAATATATATATATGTGTGTGTGTGTGTGGAGAGAGAGAGACTGTGTAGACACACATAACAAAAGACTGAGATAGATATATAGATAACATAGAGACTGAGATAGATAGATAGATAGATAGAAAAGGAAAAACTGATTGACTTAGATACATAATCAAGAGACATAGATCGGTAGATTGATAGATAAGGCAGACGCTGAGATAGAGAGACAATGAAGAAATTGAGATAGATAGATAGATAGAGATAGATAGATAGATAGATAGATAGATAGATAGATAATGAAGAAGCTAGGAGACAGAGAGCAATAGATAACGAAGAAACTGAGAGAGAGAGATAATAAAGAAATTGAGAGAGAGTGCGATAGATGATGAATAACTTGACAGAGAAAGACCGATAGGTAATTAAGAAACTAAGAGAGAGGGAGAGAGAGACAGAGAGAGAGACAGAGAGAGAGAGCGAAAGAGTGCGATTGATAATGAAGAATAGATACTGTGATAACATAGGTACAGAGATAGATAGAACGAACAGGCAACCATACAGACATATAGATAATGAAGAAACACACACACACACACATACATATATAGAGATAGATAGATAGATAGATAGATAGATAGATAGATAGTTAGACCAACATACAGACAGATAAATAATGAAGAAACTAATATATATATATATATATATATATATATATATATATATATATATAAAGAGAGATAGATAGATAGATAGACCAACATAGAAATAGATAATGAAGAAACTAATATATATATATATATATATATATATATATATATATATATATATATATATATATATAGATATAGATTGATAGATAGATAGATAGCTAGATAGATAGATAGACAGATAATGACGAATATAGAAAGGAATATAGTGATATATATTTAGGGAAAGAGAGAGATAGAGAGAGAGAGATAATAAAAATACTGATAGATAGATAGATAGATAGATAGATAGATAATGTACAGACTGGAATGTATACCTAGAAAAGTAATATGCAGAGTGGCATGAATAGATATACAGATAGATAAATAGATCGATATGTTGATAGATAAATAACATTCTATTTGTGTGTATAGGTGTGTGTTTACAAACTTAAAATATCTAATCTTTTTTCACTAGGAATGTAATAAGTGACTCATATAATCTTTGTACCTAATGTTATTATGGTATCATCACTTTTATGGTGTATTTTTCATTTTATTTTCAGGTGAGCAATTCAATTTCCCCCCAAAATTGGTCTTGGAGTAAACGTAAGTTACCTGCTTTGTGTTTCATTAAGTATCAAGCAAAAAAATGGAAAAAAATAAGAATAAAAATATATATAAAATATATATATAAAAAACATATATATATATATATATATATATATATATATATATAAATTTCTCCTGAGCCTGCTGGTTTATGCAACACGTCCAACTTGCGAATTCGATTTACTCGTCACTCTCTTCGAAAATTAAATTCGCTCATCGATAATTCGGATGTTTTGCGTAGGTCTGTGTTTCGCTTAAATCTCTAGGAAAAGAAACGTTTCACCTATTTTCTAAGCGTAGAATGTCTATCAAGTTGTATTCATAACCCCATTAGGCTGGTGCTAACATCGTCTTCCACGCTGCTCTTTCTTTCGCCCAGGTATAGGCGTCAGTTACTATGATAACACATTTATCAACTAATTAATATCGTTATTTCTTTAAATCATTAACATCACATTAACGCGTTATAATTTCATGTTTCAAGTAAACAAGCCTGTAAGATTAATTCTTTACGGAGAAAAAGTTCCTTCCATCCGTTAATGTAAGTTCCCAGGATTCATTTCAAAAAGTTTCATGAATGAAAATTATATAAAAAAATGTTTTGGAAGTATTTCAACCATTCGATTTAATTTCTCGTCTCTTTGGAAACTCAAGTGCATGTGAAAAATTATAATTAATCCTGGATTAAAAAAATAATTACTGAATATTAAAAAAATCTATAACTTACGCCGTTTATTTATAAACCTCTATCTGATATCTATAGACCGATTTATTAATACACTATTTTCATTATTGCCCTCATCTTTGTCGCCATATTTATTACAATGTTTCAGTACTTTCCTTCTTCAGTGTCGAACCCTTTATTTCGCTTGCGGGGTAGACTGTTAATGGATGTCAGTTAGATATTTAGCTATCCCCCCACGAGGGGTCGCATGTGGCACAAGGCCGAGTTTTACGTGGTCACCCGAGCCCGTAGGCCCGGCCAAAAATATAGCCTCCGACACGCCTAGGCGGGTTCGAGAGCTGTCATAACCTCCCCCGAACGAAACCTTGCCCTTCGGCAAGGCTTCGTCCGGGTTCCTCTCTGCTAATGCAGAGAGTTTGACAGACGCCAGTTACTGTATCAACTTTAATACAGCTATGTTAATGGATGTCAGTTAACAGTTATTTTTTTTTAATTCACCCTCTCCAAGTTCTCCACTGCCTTAACCGGGTATTGAACTCCCACTTTTTGGGTCCTGTTACTGGATTTAACCAACGCCTTTTTCCACTGTACCATGTGTCCTTGATGACATCTGTGTATGAGTTTCTGGGTATTATAAACTTAATGTCTTCACCATCAAAATTTTACCAGTGATCATATTGCAATTTTTGCTGTTATCATTACATGTTTTTACCAGAGCTCATATTGCAATTTTTGTTATTATCGCTTTTCTCTGGCACTCCTTATTACTGATTCCCATATTGTATTCATTTCTATGCTTGGTCGGCTCAGGAGATTTTTTTAGCCTAGCATATGTGCTGATTCCTTAAGTTTACGAATTTTCAAAAATGTTATACGATGTAGCGTATATCCTCGCGTATCATGGGTCTCTTGAAGCTAATTTTAAGGGAGTCCGATCATGCACGAGATATAAAATTAGCTTATATACTGTAGGTCCTAGCTACGCCCTTGACCAAACTATCTAGTCATTTACTATAGTGAAATTAGCTTCAAAATTGGGTCTTCAATGGTAGCAAGATACGCGATTTTATACGATATATGTCCTTTTGAAGAAATAGACACTGAACATTGTTTTTAAATGACGTTCACTCTGTAAACTCCACAAGAGTCACTCGATGTAGAGTTTTACAGAGTAAGAGGCAGCACCCCAGGCAAGGTATAATGCCACCAAAATGCACTGAGCAACCGGAAGTGAAAGAGGAAAATTAATTTAGAAGTACCGGAAACCCAATTCTAAACAGGAAAGAAGAGATAAACTATCATCCCCTTTCAAAATACTGAGGCCTAAAATCCTCATTTTTGCTGTTATTATCACAACGTTTCGATTTTTGTGGCCTCTAACCTTATTCAGGTGGCAAATGACCCGGCTAACCTTCAGACACATTCGAAATCTATCCTTTATCTAATCTACGGCGGTAGATTGTTTTCGTTCCGCTGTGGGTACTGATATCCCATTTATATTCAGTATTGCAGTTGGAGATTCGTCTCCAGTTGTGTTGGTCAAACTCTCTACCTCCAGGTAGAATGGATCCCCAGACGAGGCTATGCCGAAGGACAAAGTCTCGCCTTGAAAAACAGCTACCCGACCCCGTTTTATATGGGGTCTGCGGTGAATTTTTAGCTGAGCGTACTGGCTCGGATACGCAACATTAAATTCGGACTTGTGCCACATCTGACCGCTTGGGGTGCTTGGTAGATATGCTGCTCAGTTAATGACCGACCTAAGTCAAAGTCCGTACTACTAACACCTAATTAATATGTCACCAAATTCAAGAAACAATTTTTTCTATCTGTTAATTTATTATCATTCCTTTTGCAAACAGAAAATGTAAGGGGATAGTGTAACATATAACACGGTACATGATACTTCTATAGACGGAACGTGAGTATTGCCGACGATGCCACTGAAATATATAGCTCCCATGCTATAAATCGAGCACAGGAACTATCATTACTTATATTAAGGCAGAGCGTTGTCTAATCACCGAAAATTAAAGAATGCCATTTGATTCCCCAGGCTCTCTTCTTGTGGCGCTAATGGAAATGTTCATGACTCTGCTAAGGCTTAAGTGAATGTTTCGCTCGAAGCACGCATGCCCAGAGTCATGCTACAATTAAACGTTTCCCAACGATCCATTTTGACATTAATGGTTGTAGGAATATAAACTTGGCCCCTTTTATCAACAAAGAAGCACACGTCATGTCCAACAAGCGAAGTATTTCTCCGGAATAATCATTTCACCTCTTCAATGTCCACAGTTCGGACTTTCTCAAACGGTCCAACTAAAGAAACGGTGCCGTCAGATTTTGAAGTTTTGCTGCAGAATATCAGAGCAGAACGAATAAGAAAGAAAAAGAATAGCATGAAAAGAAAATGAAGAAAAGGAGACATATGTACGGAACTGACCCATGCGCATGCGCAGACAAACGCACACACAAATCAGTCTAACACCAATAATAAGAACACACAATTAGCGTATAGATTAAATCAAACTTTATATAAATATAACCACAACTGTAAAAAATGGCAGTTAGTTGCCGAAGCCTCCTGACATGTTGACAGAACACTCGCAAAAAGTTCCGTCTAAGATAATTCGGATATGAGACGCTGAATAGCTAAGTTGTTGGGGGTTGATTTTGTTTAGAAGCATCTTAACGCCTATGGGTTATTTAATGCCGAAATCTAAATATTTTGTGCCGCAATAGTATGTCTTCCACCACAAATAAAATGTATTGTTGTTCATGTTGCTATAAAATGCATTGCTGGTAATTCTACGATAAATAAGTATTGCTGGCAATTCTACTATAAATAGATATTGTTGTTAAATGTTTCTCTAAAAATGTATTGCAAGTAATTTTATTTTAAAAATCTACTGTTGATTATTGTTCGGGTTTTCACTATTTGTCCATAGCTGGGAACCTAACGGGTGCTACTACTGGCCCGGGTCGGAGTGGACCTGGAAAAACAGCAATTAAAAGGTCGTTCCACAATCCTCAAAACCTCCAACATTTCAATCAGAGGACTTTACGTCGCGTGTATTTTATCATTATACCCAGGACTACATCAGCTATGTGACAAATTTTATATCTCTATGAAGCTTTTACACACGCACACACATAATTTTCTTATTTATATATATATATATATATATATATATATATATATATATATATATTTCGATTATAGGTGCTGTTCAACTTATAATTACATGAATCATTCATACAAAAAACAAATATAGAGGTTAATGATTTAAATGGCGAGAATACATCTTCGCAAACAATTTCAAAAAGTTACACTAAGTTCTTGTATGGAGATTGAAAGTGGAATCAGAGTATGAATGTTAGTACCATTGTTGAAGGCCTGAATGATCTTTCTCCTCTCACCATTGTTCAGTTATGAAGACAGTCGGTTTGAAGCAAAACGATTGTAAACTGCTTTCTATTTAGCTGTATACCTCAAAGGGTTTTCCAGTAATTCTTACGATAAATGGTGTCACGATGGCTAAAGATCTTATCTGAAAACCTGGATAAAAGAAACTCAATTAGTTTCGTATTTGCTTTAGATATTAACCATTTTGTAGGATGGATAATTATGCTATTACAGTGTAACCCGGATATAAGAGAGTTGCCGGGACCGGAGAAGAAGTCTCTTATGTCCGGTTTTCTCTTATATCCGGGTTTGGTCTATTTTATATACATTAACACAGGCTCTAATTTGCGACCAGAGAAAATCTTTCTTTTATCCGGGTTTCTCTCATACCGGGTCTCTTATATCCGGGTTACACTGTATACGTTTTACTGTTACCCCCGAATAGAATAATCACATAAAGGTTGTTAGTGAACAATCATACTTAGGACAAGAACAACACATATAAGATTCGCCAGTGGCGCGTATAAGTTGTCGTCAACTGCTATAAGTGAGTCAAGTGAATTCCACAATGAAGCTCCAACTGCAAGATATCTACCAACCGCCCCACGCGGTCAAATGTGGCATAAGGCCGAACTGTGGGTTATCCGAGTCTGTAGGCTAGGCCAAAAATTCTTTGTAGACCCCGTATAAAACGGAGTCAGGTAGCTGTTTC